GACATGTCTGAGAGCGAGAAACAAAATGAATACTAGGGTTTCCACAAAAAGGATTGAAAGCCGATCAACTAAGCTCATCACAAGTTCCGATTCTTGACAAATAGTGAGATATCAAATAAATATGTAAGATAGGAGATTAGCGTAAGACATAACATTTCGACCAGATCCTTTACAGTAAGTAACACAAATAGCGGCAGTGGTAGGTAAAGAACAGTAGGAACCACTACTAGCAAAGGGAGCTTGAAGGCAGTGGACAATTGGGAGTACAAGTGGAGTTTGAGAGGGTACTGGACTTTCTAGGTGGGTTCCCTGACATCTCCGGAAAAGACACCAAAAAAGGACCACTGAAATTCCAGCGACTGCTTACCTATCCAGGACTCTAATACAGCATATCTTTATCATGACGACCTTCGACAGAGGCATTCGCGAAACACTCATAACCTAGATGTGTTCACCATTGATGCATGTAGCAGCAATTCAATCCAGTCGTTACTGGCTAGCGAAATGTGAGCATCAACTAGCAAAGTGGCCGGTCTACAGCCATGACGAGCTGGAACGATCTTGAAGATCATCACCAATTCTGATAGAGTTCTGGTCTCGTTAATGGTCCAAGCAGGAAAATGAAGCCGCACATTCCAGATGCGTATGCCGTCCAAAGCAGAACACGTTGCCACCGCTTAGAGAACGTACCTTAATAAAAACGTAAACTTTTAAGATCCTTGCAATTTGAACTATACTATGAATAGAGGTGCAAGAAAATGTACAACATCCTAAGAGTTCCTTTAGGCCTATCAAGATTGAATCAGTTTACTGGGCTTACGTGTCTGTTTCATCGCCTTCGTCAGCCTGAAATAGGCTAAAGCGAAGAAGCCAAAACGTAAGCCTGATGAACAATTTTTCAGCCTTGGAAGTTATGAAAAAACATCCATTACCCTAAAATCCCATAGATAAGAGCGGTCCATAGATATTTTTTCAAAAATAAAATAAAAATAAAAATATTTTTTCAAAATCATTTTTTACCGGTAAATTAAACCGCTCTTATCTATGGAATTTTACTGATCGAATGGGCTCTTCAAGTTCTATCCAGAGATCAAATTCCGGCATTTCTAGAGAGATTCCGGCAGAAATTCCGTTAAAATCGCTATTTTTCTATATGAATTGTTTATTAAGTGGGCGGGGTTTAGAGTTGAGGGACGGAGCTTCTTCTAAACTTCTTCTCCGATTTTTATTTATCCATCCATCAAGTTAGAGGGGTGACTGCATTCAATTTCAATTTCATTCCAATTCATTTTTCACCGGTAAATTAAACCGCTCTTATCTATGGGATTTTAGGGTAGTCCTGCCGAGCTACCAGTAGGTGAAGAGTGTTATGCTCTGTAGTCTCGTTTTTATCCTGTCTCTGGTAGCGCATATGACTGATGCAGGCGAAATTGCGGCGGGGGAGGGGGGGGGAGTTAAGATTGTTCAGCCGTCGAATCTTGATACATCATCATTTTCAGCCAAAAGCGTGGTAAGCGGCCATTACACCACCTTCGCCCTTCGATGACGTTAAAACAAACACAAAGACGTAAACACAAAAAACAAGAACATTTTCAGAACAAGTAACTAGTAGGCTCATGATTATCATAGCATTAGATTTTGAGAAAAAAGAAGAAGTGAAAAATTTTCAGTTTTTTTTTTCGTGAAAATAGGGCCAAAACAAAAAAGGAATGAATGGCTGTGGGAAGCTACCATAAGGATGCTAAGCAACTGGAAAAATGCGCCTCCTCCAAGGGCCGGGTGCAGCAAGCCCCAACGAGGGGATGGGGACCCATCCCCCTCTCCCAAATGTTGAGATAATCCCAACCTCGGAGGTCGGAGGTCGCCGCATCCCCGGACGTTGGGGCTGCTTGCAGGCCGCCCCACTACAACTCGAATCTATCCCATGCGCTGAGGTGCGCTATTGTACCACATGCACGAAGCATTCAATGGCGTCATATAGAATTAAACTTGGTAATTTTTTTTTTGCTCGACGCATATAATTGGCGGTAACTGTTCAATTCATGCTAAATTGAGGTAGTTTCTTATTTTTTTTACCTAAAATCTTCACCCCCCCCTTCTGGTAAATTAGCGATTTTGTCACAATAATACGATCCTAAATCAAACTTTCAACTCATTTTAAATCTCACCGATCTCGTTAAACAATGGCAGCCCCAAGCAGTTGCACACTGCATGTGTCACGATTGGAGCAAAAGCGTGTCCGCTTTTCAGGAAAAGATACGTGGCGTACGCTCCGAACAAGTACGTGTAGACGAGTTGAAAGCCTGAAAGTCAGCAACATGGCCAGAAGACAAAAAGCCAGTACAATTGAAAACTACAACAGGGCGACCAAAGAATGTTACCCCTTCTCGCAATCGCTTGTGACGGTGTGAAACCTCGACGTCGGTCATCACCAATATGATGAAGGTGGCTGCATGCGAACGGTAACGGACCAACTATGATCGCCATTGATGGCGATACACAACCTTTCAGCAAGGAAACACAGCAGCACCGAAATGTGATTTCTTCGGTCACTGGACCCTGAAGCGCAACATTAGTTCTTATGTTCAAAGAACTATCAAAACCCTTTTAAGATTCAGTTGGTCCTTGAAAAAATCTCATTGTTAAAGCAATGGTCCACGGAAAAATGATATCACCCATTATCCACTGGCTTGAAACCCATCATTCACGAATAATAACAAACAGAACAAAAAAATGCGTTTGTTTTGGTAAACAATTCGAAAAACCTGAAGACTGTTACGCGTTCAATTCCCGCCGCACATCTGTCACAAATGTTGGTAACGGGAGCAATTCCACTTGGCTTCTCTCCCTTCACTAGGAACTCTGTGACCTCCTCCCTCACTTATGACATTAACCCTTTGACGACAATGCGGATTTGCACGTAGCTTGCTCGTGGGACCACGCCTCTTTTTGGCGCGCCCAACTCTCGCTCAAAATTAGGCAAAATTGTCCTAAAGCAGTTTTTCTGTAGAATTTTTGACTTTAACAGTATACCAGTTATAACTGCAGTTCTAGGCTTTCATACTGTAAATTGTTTTCAAGAGAATTCCAAATTTGGAGGGGAACTCGCGTTTCAAAGGGAAGGAGGGCAAAACCTCTAAAAGTTAAGTGTCCAAGAGAATTTCCGATACACTTCAAACCCCTTCCCATATCTGAGGGCTATGAGAAGACGAAGAAGTCCTGATTAGTAATTAATCTTCGGCCTAATAATTTAAAACCCCAATTAATATGGTGGCGAGCTAAATGGCACATTCTAAAATTCTATATAAATTAGCTCTTAGTAAACATTTCTGTAAGTCGTGCTAGCCATAGATATTATGGAACTTGCTTATAATTATTGGGGTGTTACAAATGTTTTAAATGCACAAAGAAGGAAATTTTAAGGTGGCACCCACCATTGGGTGCCATTGTCCCACGCGACGAACATAGTGGCACCCACCGGTGGGTGCCATTGTCGTCAAAGGGTTAACATTTCTGTCTCACACTGCATCCTTATCGATCGCTCTGTCTTTGTTTTCCAAATTTGAACGCTTTAACCCGGTTCTTCAAAACGTCGCCTAATACGTGGCCGCTTCCCATGCGTTTCCTTGTCTCCGCCCCACCTACCATCGACCATCCATGGTGTGGTTTTCGTAAGTTTGTTATTCTTCGGAAATTGAACCTTTTTGCGTGAACTTTGCACGTTGTCCCTAATGATCACAGCAGACGCATTCATGCTGGGAAGGACGCAAGAATCTTCCGTGAACTATCGCTTCAAGAATAGGTAGAGCATTAAAATCGCTATATGCGTTTATTAGTTGACCAAGGTTCTCCTCAAATCATACAAATCAGAACCTGCTATAATCGATACGGGCCAGCCTAAGAGAAGACAAAACAACAGCGAGTGGAGGATGGGCTGTGTTTCAAACATGCGCACCTCGAGCCATCCAGGTGAGGCCTTCCTCAAACTTTGAAGGCACACATCATGATGAGATAGTGCGATTAGTGAGCTCGATAATGACTGGAGTGGACGCGAAGTAGATCGTCAATCGAGAAGGCAGGAAAAGAAACTGTTGAAAACACCGAAACTAAAGGTCTCTGTTCATTGCTGTGTAGGAGTTCAACAGTAAGAAAAACAAAGCGACATGAGAGATCAACAAAGTCAATAAGAGAGAAGGGAGATTATGAGAGGAAAGAGCATAACAGCTCCCATCCAGCTCCCTCCCTAAACGATCCCCGTCCTGATATTACTTGGCACCGTGAGCTGCAAGATATAGGTGATCCTTTGAATCACATAATGTTATTCAAAGAAGAGAAAATGAAATAAAAATGAACAAAAATTGAGCAAAAACTGTACCAAAGCGAAAAATAAACGCAACAAACCACTATCACATCTCGGATCCAGGTGTACTGCCGGAATGACGCTTTCCATTCACTTATAGCTAAAACAACACAATGAATATGATAGTTTGTGGAGAAAATAAGTAAAGGGAAGTAAAGGTCAACACAAATTCAGCAAAGGCAATGACCGCTCTGATTCATTATAGTACTTTACGCGCACGATCTGAAGATCAAGTGATGGGTCGTACGCCGTCCAGAACGACCAAGCTTCCTTCTCCCTTTCAATTTGTAACGGCTCGTTTAGTCGGACAAGATCACTGACTTAGTATATAGTTTGGCGAACTCAAGGCATTGTATAGGCCGAGCCGCATTTGAAATCCCAAAACGAGAAGGGATGGAGCTGGAACGCGCGGCGCATCCGACTGACCAGCGCCGAGTGCTTATCGTTTGTAAGAAGAAAAATAACAAGTCCCATATGTGTTGATTTTAACTGGACTTCTAGTGTTTGCCGCACCTATCTGCAGAAGCTTTC